AGGAAGGGAGCTTAGTGCTCGGGGACGACATCGGGGAGCGTGGACAAAGGTCGTGTTTGGCGCCGACATTGATTCAGGGTTCCCACTACTGCGATAAGTTAGTGTCAATATTTGCAGTATAGTACGGGCTTGGAAAGCATCTTCGACGTAAATACAGTCCGGTGCTTACTGTGTTGTCGGTTTAGTGGCCGCTCCCTCCAGCCTTTTATTGTAAGTAAGTGTCAGTGTGTATATACACCTAAACTTGCCAGGAACTGAGCAACCGGACCTGTCCAGTTCTTCAACATGTCGACGGAGTCATCTCAACCTTCGGGATTACATCCATCAGGCCAAACTTAACTACGTGTGTGCGGGTGTTGATGTTTAAACTATTATGCACTGGTCTTTATGTTCAGTCAGTGCTATTATTGTTATTATTGATAAGGGCCTCGTGCACAGTGCGCACAACCCTCCGTGAGTCACTAATGTTCTGTGCAATTGAGGTAGATCCTATGGCCAGTTCAATGGCCGCTTCCTAATCCGCTATACGAAGTTCATTCAAACTAAACCACTAGTTTTGGGGTAGAAAGGCAGTGGCCAAGAAGGAGTTTTCATCTCGTGTGAAAACGGCAGCAAAGTCCTACGTGACTTACATATAGGACGTGCTGGCCCTTTGCTGAAAAGCAGACAATATCATGGAATAAACCGAGAAAGTAGCACACATATTGCAAGGTATTGCAGATGATGCGTTCAACCTTCTCACATGCAAGGACTGCAACATGGTCGATGCCATCATCATGGATTGCCAGCGTTTTGAGGCCGCGAAAATTCGACGTATCACCCACCATTTCACTCGACTAGCAAACACAGCAGCAACCTGACCGTGCCGAGAAGGGGGCTGCACTACAGACGCCGTTAACTGCAGGACATGTGACCAAGATCATCAGACGTGAATTTGAAGCTCTGTCTCCTGCGTCCACGTGCCCCCATGCTTGTGACTCTAGCCCTCATATTGTGCGACTGGTACATGCCATTGTGCGACAAGAGTTTTCCCATGCTGGATTGGCCTCCGAGTGCACTACAGCTCCTTCTTAGCCGATATATTGTCGTCGACCTCCTGTTTCGTATGCCCAAAGCCAAAACCTTCCGGTGCGCCCTTGCATTCCAGCCGAGTGGAAGAGTGCTAACTATCATCCGATTTGTTTCGATTGCCGCCGTATCGGACACTTGACCCGCCATTGTAACACTCTGTGGTATTGGCATGAGGCATCCCATGGGTACACCCATCGTCCAGAGAGAGACCATGGGCGCTTTCAACCTTACCGGGAATCGCCTCAGGCCACCAGTGAAGATGTTCCTTTATGCCGCCATATCGTAGTCGTTCTCTATCTCCGCATGCTCACCAGTCCCATTCACCGCTCTCCCGTCGCCCGTCGTCTCGCTCGCCCCAATTTCGCCGACCAACTTCATCGACTGACCAACTGCCGCGGGAAAACTAGATGATACAGCTCCCGGAAGTGATGCTGCATTGACCACTTGCCTGCCAAATCCTCTGACCATGCTGCCGACTCGACGCACCCTTATTGACCTTGAAGTAGACGACACACCTGTTGTTGCACTTGTGGACACAGGGGCTCACATATCAGTGATGAATTCAGAATGTTGTTGCCACCCACAGTACCACTCATCCAGGTCACCAACGGTGGTGCGTTTCCCGTGCTTGGAATGTGCTCTATTGCTGACGTTCTGCTCGCCAAAAATGTTGCCGTGCCTCACACACCTTTGACAGTCATGGGTAATACAGCCTCTCCTCCGATGCTAAACTTCAGCTAGTGCGCTCAAGTTATCCCTGAGGGTATAACTTTGGCAAAAGTGCTTTCTGTAGATGCTGCCATTTCAGTGTTTGTTGCCGAATCTTCTTTGTCATCTGCTTCATTTTCTTCCTCAAAGGGCGCAGCGAATGCCACCATAGACAAGATGATCGCCCCTGACCTCCTTTGAGCACAGGCAGCTGAATTCCGGCCCCTACTGAAATCCTACCGTGATATCTTTGGATTGATGACCGCCCTTTTAGACAGACATCCTTGATAACTCATAGGATCAACACTGGATACGCCAGCCCCATCCGACGACGTCCTTATCGTCCTTATCGCGTGTCTAATGCTGAGCGATAAGTTACCTAGCCAGAAGTTGAAGAAATACTCACAAAAGACATCATAAAACTTTCCCACATGGGCATCGCCGGTCATGCTAGTCAAGAAGAAGGATTGTAGCTGGCGCTTCTGCGTAGACTGCCTTGAGCACCCTTACAACATCACTTACTTCCTCATCCATCTTTGGCCTATTTCGACCCGCCAGCCCATACTGAAGTTCGTACCGATGCCAGCGGACAAGGAATCTGGTGCTGTTCTCACCCAGAGGCAACGAGGACAGGATCACGTCATCGCGTATGCCAGTCGTCTCCTTTCTCCTTCGGAGAGCAAGTTTTCCATCACAGAGCGTGAGTGCCTCAAAATAGTCTGGGAAGTCCGACAATTTTGACCATACTTGTCAGGTCGCACATTTTCGGTAATTACGGATCACCATGCATTTCTCTGGCGCTCGTCCCTTAAAGATACATCTTGATGACTAGGCCGTTGGGCCTTAAAAGTCCAAAAATACAGCTTTGACGCGGCATACAAATCTGGCCTAACGCACCAGGATTCCGACTGTCTATCCCGTTACCCCGTGGACCCAGCCAACCTGTCAGCATATTATTTTGACCCTTGTGTCTTCGTGATACCTGATTTCACCGACATACGCTAGGAGCAGCTTAGTGATGTCGACTTGTGGTATATCATGCAGAGTCTACGTTTGCGCCACGTAGACCCGTCGCTACACTGATTCGTTCTACGCGATGGCATTTTTTACCGACACAACACCAGCGCCGAGGGACCAGAGCTACTAATCGTAGTTCCTGCGACATTCCGTTCCGCTGTTCTTGAACAGCTTCAAGACGCCCCAACCGCTAGACATCTCTGGGTCACGCGCACGTACAATCGCGTGTGGCGTAGATTATTCTGGCCAGGCCTTTACCGTTCTAGGCGCCAATACGTTGCTGCTTGTGAGTCCTGCCAGCGCTCCAAACATTTCGCCTTGCCACGAGCCGGTCCACTCCAACCAATAGACATGCCTACCATTGCCTTCTACCGCGTAGGTCTTGATCTCGTTGGACCATTTTCTACTTTTCTCACTGGAAACAAGTGGTTAGCCGTAGCCACTGACTACGCCACAAGATAAGCTATCACACGAGCGCGCCTCCACAGCTGCTGACCGATCGTGGTCGCTCATTTCTTTCAAAAGTAGTGACATCTTTCGCTCGTGTTCGACGCTTCACAAGCTCACTACAGCATACCACCCACAAACAAATGGTCTTATCGAGCGCCTTAATCAAACCTTGACGACGATGCTCTCTATGTACGTTTTGAAAGATCTTGACTGGGATAGCACTTTGCCTTATGTGACATCCACATACAATTCGTCACGCCACGACACCGCTGGATTCTCCCCCTTCTATTTATTTCTCGGCCGCCATCCAGCGTTACGCTTCGGGACTCTTCTCCCATCAACTACGCAAACGGTTACAGAGTACACCTGGGATGCTACTCCTCGGGCTCAAGTGGCCCGCCAACTTGCATTGGAACGTGTTCTTGACTCGAAGCTCTCTCAGAAGGCCCGCTACGATAAACATTATAGAGTCGTTTCCTACTCTCCAGGATCATTAGTCCGCTTTTGGACATCATGCCGCCAAGTTGGCCTCTCTTCGAAGCTCCAATATTGCTACTCGGGGCCTTACAAGGTTTTACGCCGGCTTACTGAGGTCACATATGAGATCGCTCTAATGGACAGTCAGTAGTCGTCGGCACCCGCCACTGACGTCGTCCACGTGTCCCGTCTGAAACCATACATCTCCGCACATGATGCTACTCTTCTTCAGGCTCCGAGACGGCGCTGCTGGCGGCGGGGGGTTATATGTTACAGGACATCGGCAACGAGAGAGCATCAGGTAGACGACAAAGACAATGAATGCAGTCGCACTTGTGTTGTTGTTGCTGTTGTACTTTCATCTTGGCTGCAGCTGGCTCTGACTCTCTCTGTATACTTTGTGAATATATTTATTCCATTTATTCTCCCAACCCTATAATAATATTAAAGTGCGCACCGGACACCTAACACTAGAACTTCAACAAAACGGCTGTGAGCTATTTCTCTACCCAAAATTAATCAAAACCACTCGGAAGGTGTTAAGATAAAAGGCTCAAGAGCATTGTTTTGAACGTAAAAACGTAGTAAAAACAGACAATAAAAAATAAAGTACAAGCTTCATGAAATGATACTAAAATGCCCCTGGTGGCCATCCGCACGCATGTCGTCCTTGCGAAGTTCGCGAGAGTGAGAAGAAAGTAGAAAAAAGTGGCCCTCGCATATGGCATAAATTGCGTAACATAAAATAGTCGTACCGAATGGCTTGTGTCTTCAAATCGTCTTAATAGGAGACCCTTCGAGCGTTTCTTATATTTGTTGTGAAATGGCGAATTTGAAAAATTTTGATGTTTCCATTTCACGACAAGTTCTTTCACATTCTTGCGTTTAGGCGAAACTGTCCGAAGCTGCTCAAGAAAATGTGCGTGTGATGTATAAACCAGGCTTTCAATAAACACGACAGTGACAAGTGAAGCTGTAGGTCGTGGCATATTTTCTCCCGATTCTTAAGTGTCAACCTTTTGTACGGAGTCATAACTCGAGCCAACCTTTATTTGCGTATCTCACATGGTTGTAGTCCATTCTTTGCACTCTCAATGCAATCTTGTCGAGATGATCAAAAACACTCCAGAAAATGCTGTTCTGTGATGAAGTCTACTAACAACAATCGAAAAAAAAAGGAAGCAGAGTATCGTGACACTTATTTTCTTGGTGTTCAAATACAAATGTGGTGCATTGGGCTTATTAGGTCCATACTTAAATAACCTACTTTCTTGCAGCTCACAGTGCCTGCAGTACAACCTTACTAGGAAAATAACGTTCACTTCATGAGGTAAGCTGCTTCATTGTAAAAAGCAAGAGATATTACCATACATTTGGGATTTTTTTTTTTGGCTCTCTACCTTAGTGACGTTATGTTTTTCATGAAGCACACAAGAAATCGACCTGAGCCCACCGTTAGTTCGGCGTTCACTGGTATGTTAGGATAACTCAATATACAAAAATAAAACTCGCATAAAAATAATAAATCTCATAAAGTTGCAGATGATATAGATTCCGCCGTAAACTTATATTGCCACGCGTATTTCTTATTACACCGCTGCCGTGTCCTATTTTTGCCTTCACTGCAAAACATATTTGCCCTTGATTACGTAAAAAGGCGTAGCTAACATGCTGCCAACCACTTCCGCAAAAAAATAGTACACCAGAGGTCACGTAGGACACGTAAGACGTACAGCCCGTTCAACATGCACAGAGATCTCTGCATTAAAGAAATAATGTAATGGCTGCCACGAAACAACACCTGCACCGTAGGTCCATTTCTTACACCTTATTCATAATACATTTGCTACATATCTGTAAATAACAAACGTGTTTTCATTAGATTTAACATGAGGCATACGTAATCAGCAGATCTTTCTCCTGCAAGTACAAGGTAATTCAAAAATTTCCAGGCCATATTTCAACAGTGGCAGCGTCACCTGTGGCAGCGTCACCAGGGAACTGCACCTGCACATGCTAAAAAATGTATGAAGGGAATTCAAATGTTTAAAAACGAACAAGGACAAGTTTCCTATTCCCTGAAATCGTGTTTCATTTTCGCAAGATTATCAAGCAAAATACAGCACTGACATGCTACAAACTGTGCGCCAAAAATTGTCAAAAAATTATTTTATTTCGGTCCCTTTGCATGTGGAATTTAAAATACGAAAAAGGCATGTGATAACTTCCAGATAACCAAGAAACCTGTGTTGTTTTCCTATTGTTACAGTATTGTGCATACTTCTTTTCTGGAAAACAGGAAAAACATTTTGTCAGCACTACCACACCAGGTGAGTACAGAGCAAAAAACAGTGCCAGCACAATTATTTTATTCATTTCAAGACTCCTTATGGGCCTTGTTGGAAGCACTGCCTTGTAGCACAAAAATAAATATTCACACATAAATAATAATACATATCACACAGAATGAAATGGCTGAAAGCACAAACAACTTCATACCCAAACCAAAATATTGGCTCACACTACTAGTTGAGGCAAAAAAAGCAAAGGGGTAATTCAATGTATCAAACCATACAACAATTAGGTTTGTGCAATGCAAAATCACCCAGCGTTTTTTGACCATCACGAATATGGCGGAAAAATTTTCGCATTTTTGAAGTTCTAAACTCAGTCCTGGTCATTTATTTCCATTGCCAAAAGTTTTGCTCTCTAGTTATGAGAGACTGTATTATGGCGCCGACTGAGCTAAAAGTTGTCAAACAACCATTTTTTTAAAAAGTCATTTCAAATGCACTCAATAAATTGCATTTCAAGCAAGGGAATGAAGTGATCTAACTGAAAATAGTGACCTAATTATGTATATCAATTCTTCGAGAGCTTTTCCCACGAGCAATGCTGAATAATGTTTCCATGTTTGGGATTTTTTCGGCAACATGGCAAGTTACAAGGACACAAATGAAATATGTGCTGGTGACCTTTTTGACATACTACAAATAAAAATAATTTATGCACTGAAGTTTAGCAGATTGGAAAAGCTTTGTATTCATCGTCAAAAAAGCTTGCCTTGGTTGTCAAACAAAAATGTGCACATTTCTTTTTGAAGCTCTATGTACTACCTCAATATAGGTGAAGTGACTAAAGGGAAATATTTGTTGAGCTCCAAAAGTATTTTTTTAAATGTATCTCCACAGTCTTTACCCCTATTTATCTCAAGTGACATGAAGCACTGGCAAGGAAATTTTCAACGGACTTCCACAGACCTGAGGTACACACAGCAAGCTTGATGCAGAACAATTGGAATTGGAATGTGGTTATCATATCCATTGCATTGCCAACAGAGGTGCGCTACAATGAATATCACTAGAGTGTGGAGACCAGTAGCATAGCAAAAAGATATTCGCGTGGGGTCGGTGTGAGGGGAAGGCGACATCGGTCATACTTTATGTACATTCTTGTGTGTTCGTATGTGTGCATGTAGGTATGCACTTGAAGAACTAAGAGAATCACAGCTTATCTATGAAATGAACGATGATGTGTGGGGCGAGGTTTTCAGGGGGTGTTATCTGTAACCGTGAGTCCATCTGTCTGTATGTCACTCACACTAGCGCCTTCTACTGAGTCGTCGATAAACTAGGCGGTCACGAAGCGGTCACAGTAGAAGGACAATCCATGGCTTTAGGGTAAAAAATACCTGGACCCTTCTGGGGGGTGGGAGAGTTAAGCAGCTCCTCCTGCCTTACTGGCTAAGCCACTGCTGATAGCTCCCAGATGAGCCATCAAGCCGTTAAAAAGTATACAGTACGCAATTATACCTTACGCACAACATGAACGAGACTATTGCCTTGGCTACCATTTCTTAATTTAAAGCTTTTTGCCTTGTGTATTCATATGACATGCTTCGGGTCTCATGAAGCAGGGTGCTCTTCTGAAATTCTGAAAGCCAGAAAAATAGGAAACGGTTGTTTTTTGATGGCGCTTATCAGGGTACTGCATGAATGTTTCTAGAATGCTTTAGCACATATGTCCTGAATATGAATAAATATTTTTAATAATTGTATAAAACACACCTACTGTTTCAGCAGAACGCTTCACAAAAGCAGGATGTCTGAATTTATATCTATAAAGCTGCATGATTCACCTAGAAGTCACCACAGTGAACTCAGTCCTTGTAGCATCCCTGCGTTGGGAATGGAATGCAGATTATAACTGTATTCGCACTTCAATTACTCTGTAGAGAGCACCCAATGCGCTCTCTGTATTCCAGGTCAGTGGGATTCTGCTGAAGATCGCCCTTGCTAGTGTATCATGTCTTTTTAGTTACGTAGCGAAAAGCTGGTGCAGATACATATTTAAAAATATTTTTGAAATTAAAAGTAATACCTTCTAGTAATTACACCTATAATTAGCTTGTCCACAGAGCTGTAAAAGAAAATTTCGTGCATATTTAAAGCGCGACTACAAAGGCAAGTCTTTGATGCTGAATACCGAGGTTTTCCTAAACAAAGTGGCACTCACAATCTTTTTCAGAGTATCTGCTATAACATCAGTGTCTAAATTATTTTTAACTTGTAGCATGTTGACAGGCCACCAGCACATATTTCATTTGTGCCCTCGGAACTTGCCATGTCCCCGGAAAAAATCACAACTGTGGCAACTTTATTCAATATTGCTCGTGTGATAAGCACTCAGAGAATTTATATACACAATTGAGTCATTATTTTAACGTTATATAACTTCATTACCTTGCCAGAAATGTCTTTTATTGAGTGCATTCCCAAAACTTCTTTTGAAAAAAAATTGTTTGGCACCTTTTACCCTACTTGGCGCTAAACAATAGGCTCTCATAAACAAGGAGGAAAATTTTTGGCTAAAAAATAAATGCCCAGGACGAGGTTCACACTTTGAGAAATATGTGGAAGTTTCATCAACCATATTCGTGATGGTCAAAAAAAACTTTGTGTAGCGAAGTCGTGCATGTGTGGTCGCCCATTCGATGTCGTCACCGACCATCATGCCCAATGCTGGCTGTCATCATTGAAGGATCCTTCAGGCCGTCTCACCCGTTGGGCTCTTCGCTTACAAGACTACGAAATTCAAGTGCTGTACCGCAACGAACGCCAGCATGCTGACGCCGATGCCCTCTGGCGCTCCCCTCTGCCTGAAGACGACGCGCCCTGCTCCGTAACCTCAATTGCTGTTTCTGCCATCGATGTTAACCTCCTCGCCACCGAACAGAGAACGGATATTGGATTGGGATCATCCCGTTTATGACTTGCTTTCTGATTAGTCCGCAACACCATCCACGCGTACCCTGCGTCGTCGAGCTCACGATTTCATCATTGACGGCCTCCTACACCGACGCAATTGCGATGCCGATGGCCGGCAGTGGTTACCCCTGATATTCCGCAGTCTGCGGTCAGAGATATGTAAATCTTTATATTCTGATCCGCAATGTGCGCACTCTGGGGTATCGAAAACTCACCACCGCAATCGACAATGCTACTTCTGGCGCGGGATGTAACGCTACGTGCTCATTCGCTCTTGCCTCGCTTGCCAATACCGCAAACTGTCAGCACACATGTCGCACGCCAGTCTGCAACCGTTACCTTGCCCTAACCGTTCGTTTGGGCGCGTAGGTATCGATTTTTATGGACCACTTCCTTGGACGTCGGCTGGTAACCGCTGGGACATCGTTGTCGTAGATCATTTAACGCGATACGCCGAAAACTCCGTTCTCCCCGCGGCTGCTGCGCGCTATATTGCGTCCTTCCTGCTGCATCAACTCATACTGTACCACGAACCACCCCTAAAGCTTCTCAATGATCGATGCCGTGTCTTCTTGTCGGAAGTCGCCTAAGCCATTCTGACCAAGTGCCAGTCTGTCCACCGCAAAGCTGCTGCTTACTACCCGCAGACGAATGGTCTCACCGAACGCTTTAACCGCAGCCTCAGCGACACGCTTTCGATGTAAGTCGCCGGCAACCACACGAATCGGGATAATATACTGCCCTTCGTCCCCTACGCCTACAATACTGCCCCTCAGATCACGACTGGTTTTTAATCTTTCTTCTTGCTGTACGGATGGCACCCGTCACGCATCATGGACACGATACTCCCGTACACGGCCGATTCATCTGAGTATGCACCTATCTCCGAGACAGCCAGACTTGCTAAATAGTGTCGCGAGCTTGCCAAGACTTTTACGACGCATGAGCAAGAGCGGCAGAAGAGTATCCGTGATGGCTCCACCACTTCTGAGCACACGTTCCTTCCTGGTGTGCTTGTATGGCTCTCCATTTCTACTTCTCGTCTCTTTTCCAAACTACTTCC